AAGATACAATATTCTAAACGCGAAAAAAGTAGACTGTTTTAAAAGAAGACAGCTCACAAAGTCTTATTTAAAAATACTTTCTGCTAGATCAACAAAAGTATAAAATTGCATGCATGAATTTGTAATTGATAATAATGTTAAAAAAATTAGAATATATATTTTATTAAGTAGTGNGTTTTCTTTCGTTGAAGAATTGCGTTTGTTGTTTAGAAATAAATAAATGACGCCTTAAAATTAATAGTTTACCACATCATTTTAATACAAATATTTCTGTGTCAATAATTCGAGATTCCAAAGTGGATCTATCTGTTGATAACCAGTTACTGAATTGAACACTATCGAGACTAATATCACATAACAATTGTTTTAAGAAATCGGAAAACGTATCTATTCTAATCGTTTATAGTAATTTCTTTCAAACAATCTTTGTACGTAACTAAGATTTTATCGGAATTTTTTGTCAATTTTTTAAGGTTAATAGCATCAAGCATGAGTTGAAAGTTATGGTGTATAGTACATATACAAACGCAATGAGTTCCAGGAGCACCAGCAAGGATGAATTGTTTCGGTCGCAATTGGGAAAATTTACTGAAACTTACTTTAAAATTTGGGGCATCTTCTTTATGCAAAATATACAGCTCTTTCAGGTCTATAAGTTTAAGTCTTTTTTGTATTAAAACACGACCTTCTGGAGTCTTTACACTACATCTCTTGTACCAGGCATTACTCAACTATTTTTATCATCAATATAAAACTGCGTTACATTAGTAACAGTTTCTGCTGGCAATAATTTTCTACTTTTAGCTGTGTTGTTTCTGCTAATACGCCGCGTTCAGCTCTTCAACCTTTTGATTTTTCGGCCAACTTCCAACCATACTTAAACTCCATAGCGATTTTTTTGGGACTCCAAGACTCTAGAGCGATTGTCAATGTACGCAGTTTTAGTAGATCATACAAATCTAATGAAAAGAATTTTTCTTTTAAACAACTTAACACAATTTCTAGTTCAAGCTCTCTTGCTAATGAAGTAACTGTTGAAATCATATGTTCTCTTTCATTGGGGTCAATACATATTTATTGCTTTTCAAAATTCTTACGAAATTCGTTCATTGGTGCATCCTGTGTATATTTAGCTCTTGTATCTGTGAATGTGTCAATTTCTGTACGTACACGTTTTAGTCAACAGTTGGAATAAATTTTATCATTATGTGACAAATGAGGTAATTGTTGTTTAAGACTTTTGAATACTCGTCTTCAGTTATTTCCTCTATGTCCTGCAACACTCACATCTTGATGTTTTATTATTGATAAACAAACGGAGTCCAAAAAACTTAAGTTATCCATTCCAGCTTAGGGAAACGATTGAAACTTGAATCACCAACTCCTACTCAATTTTATTGTACTAGAAGGCTTCGCCCCTTACGCGCTCCATGTGCCAACCCCCCAAACTTTTTTGATTATACATATTTCTAATAATTACTTAATCTGAATTGAATGATTAAATTTTTAAAATAAATTTAAGTTCAAACGAATAAAACGACCTTGATTAGCCAGCGCTTGTCTACTCAATTTCATATGTACATTTAAATGTACCGCCTTCCGTTACTCACGACTAATCAGATCACGACGTATTCTGTCGATAGTCACGTGATAGTCATTCTTTTAGGATAGATAATAAATAAGATGTTCAGTCTACGAAAGTGCTCATATAGTGCTTTTTCTTTTATTTTCTTCAGCGAGAGTAACTAGATCGTAAATATAGCTGCATGAATTGGTTACTGTTGTAAGCGTGTATGCAAAGTATATATGCAGAAAGCTGCGTCGATGTATCGATAGAGCGATGAGGGTATCAGTACATTAAGTACCCGAAGAATCAATTTGTTAAAAAAAGTAGATAATCCAATACGAGTACCACCGTTTGAATTTGGATTTCGCTAAGTATATAAAGTCCGTACATAGTTTATTATATACGGTTGATTCTGACATAAGTGGGTCATTTCGTGTCTACATAAAAATATGTTAAACTTTCGTAGAAACAACTTTCGAGCTGATACATTCACTTCTTAATAAGATAATAAAGAAAATATAGTCGGAATGTCATTTCCGTACCTTGTCCAACTCTCAATTTCTTACCTAAAAGCTCCTACATTATCACTTATAGACTTCTTATGCTACATTTACGCCATAAAATTCATTTTTTAACTATAAGCAAGAGTTTTCATCAATACCAAATATCCTATGACTTGCACGAAAATGCCGGTTATAATAGAAATCACTTAAAAAACCACACTTGTGTTTCGTTACACCTTACAGTGGTCACTTTTGTAATCTTACATCATAACAAGATAAATGCAGATGCCAAACTTGTCATAAATTTAAATATCCTTAATTGGTACGTACTTCAATTTTGGTGTGTACGAAAATTTTGGTGACTTCCGAATCCCATAGCCCCAGCAAAGATAAGTAGAGACATTGCTAACGCCAATGCTACAAGGTGAGACGACTATTTGGCACTGGTCGGGGTGACTCGCTGTGGCCAGCCGTCGAACTGGGCGCACATTTTACGAGTGCGAGACTCGTATCAAACAGCGTTCACCTAAGAGAAGAGGAGTGGATTCGCGTGAAAATGAGCATATAGGCGCACATTTTGGAAACACGTAGAAGGGGTATACCAAATGTGTGCCTACGAGGAGAGAAGCGGAAACTTCGACTCTATATAGCTATATATCTGAGCGCACAGCCAAAGCAAGCCACGACGGAAGTTTGTCTCGTTTGACTGCAACCGAGTGTATGCTATATACTCGTATATTTAACTGACTCTTGCTCTCCCGCTCTTGCATCAATGTTGTCTTATCAGTCTGATTTAATTTAATTGTGGAACTAAATAGTGGTGGAAATAAAATTGTGGTAAGCTGATACTTATCGTTAGAAAAACCATTTCGTAATTTCATAATGATAAAATAATTTCTTAGGATATGAGTGTAATTCTTATATTTTCAAACTCCCGAGAAATTATTAACATCCAACGTGAGAGAAAAAATACGAAGGCATAAGAAAACTTACACAAAACTTCCTTAACATTTATTTTCCGTCTTTTGTTATAAAAAATTTAGGTATAGCAGCTATACTTTTGTATTGATTAAATATATAATTTCAATTTTAATTATATGATGTTGATCCTAGAACCAAGTTTTAATTAGCGTATGTAGATATTAAAACTAAATACCTTTGAAAATTAATCAACAAAAATCTGAACTGTAATGAAAAACAGATTTTATAGATCAAGATTGATTTTTGCGTAATACTATAGGGGGGGGGGGGCAGGTGTGGCTTCCTAACTTGAGTTGCAAATAGTATTAAGAGACTGTAAATATGCAACTATAAAGAAATAGAAATGAAAAGAAGCATCTGTTGATAATTAGCAGTAGACTTGAAAAAAAAATTTTTATTCAATTTATTATAAATAGCAAAAAATTGCTTAAAGTTTAAAAACTGTTCCACTTACCCCATCAGAGGGCACGAGGTGGCATAGGGTAGGGTACGCGTAGCACGGTGGTTATTAAATGCTTAGTGTGTAGTGTAGTTGTAAGTATTTTCATAATAAAACTAATTTTACTTTAAACAAAACAAAATGATTGAAAATTTTACGATTAGGCAACTTAATTTTTTTTCTGTGAGTGGACAATTACACAGAATAAAGTTCACATTTTTTTTTTTTTAATTTTTTCGAATTAATAAATATAATTAAGTAATGTATTTAAAATAATATAAAACTGTCATGTATTAACATATTACAATTTTTATAGACAATTTATCAAATGTTAATCAACTACGTAAATCACATTTTAATACATGTTTTAGCGCATATTACAATCATTTTACACTGATAACTTGAAGTTTGAGGATTTAGCTGTATTTACATCTAAATAGCAAATTTCAAATTTCTCATTATTTAAAAAAGTGTCCTCAGTTTGAGGATTTAGCTGTATTTACATCTAAATAGCAAATTTCAATTTTCTCATTATTTAAAAAAGTGTCCTCAGTATTTAAAATTGAGGATTCTGGTATGACTTGTCTAAGATGAGTTTTATAGCTAAGGGAATCAGGATTAAAAAGTTAAGGGCACGTGGATGAGGACTGTATAAAATTAATTTGATCTTTATCAGAGTGTTTAGGTGTCTTGTAAGGTTTTTTTGCTGTAGTGTTCGTACCAGATAATCTTTTGCGCTTGCCAGGCAAACATTCAGATTTCGCCCCCTGGTTCAGATGATTTCTTGCTACATTTTTCTTTTTTTTACACTTGTTGCTTTATCAGCCATAAGATTCTTTTTGTAAGAATCGCGGGTGATTACAGCTGCTCTACCTTTTTATCTTCGTATAGCTGGATTGCTTTGGTCAAGTTTACTTTCTTTGGTTGGAACAGTGAAGTTGATTAACGAAAGAATTGTAGTTTTTTGATGAGGGATCCTCTGTATGTGACAGCAAGGAGGTACTGTGAATTTAAAGAGGAATCAAGTAAAAACTAAACTCGATTTTCAATTTGAACAAGTGTTATACAAATAGCAAACAACAGTTACCAAAAAACTTATCAGAGGCTGTGTTTGAACTATATATAATAGAGAAATTCGTATATAGTTTTCTGATGTATTGCTATGACTTGTATTCGTTGAGTTTTTACCAAGCACTGAGGTCTTGCACCCTCCACTGGCCTGCTTATATGTAAGTACATCATCTCTAACGCAATAATTTTTAGAGTTTCCTGCACCTACAGAAGACTGGCACTCTTCAGTTCTTTGGGTTGTAGAGTTTAAAGGAGGTTTCACAATCTCGTGAACAATTTTTTTTAGTTCTGTAATCCTTGATTCTTATTCTAAAATTAAAAAATAAGCCAGTGGTAATTTGAAAAATAGTTATTAACATAATTTTCTTAAATCAGTAAAATAAGTGTGTCGAAAAATTGAAAAGTTTTAAACTGATTTGTAATTCAATAGGTTTCTTTATTAACCTGGTTTATTGGAGTTGCATGGATCCAAAGAAATTTGACCTTCTAAAGCACAAACATTCAATTCAGGAAACACAGTAGAATCAAAAGGATACATTCTACATCTTCTGAAAGAGTTGATGGCAGTCTCCATTTTTGCAGAATGGATATAAGCTTTTCCAAAAATTGAGTAAAGATTTTTTAGGGTAATTTGATTGTCCCGACGCTGAAAAGCAGCTACTTGAGCACCAAAACTCTTATTTAGTGTACCATTAAAACCCACGTCTAGTGGCTGCATTTTATGAGTACAATGTGGTGGGAAACATAGTATTTCTACACCATTTTCTTTTGCCAAATCTATGACATTCAAATTCTTTACATGAGTGACGTGCCCATCAAGGAGGAGCAAAACTGGATTCTCTGGTGTTGCTTGGGAGAATTTCACAAACTTTTTAAACCATTTAGTAAATATATCAATCTGCATACAACCAGTCTTATGAAATTCTGCCCAAGCCCCAGCTGGTGTATCCTTGATAAACTCTAAGTTTTCCTTTACTCTAGGAAATATTATGAAAGGTGGCATAAAGGTACCTGCTGCTGAAATACAAATTGTGGCAGTTACATTTTCACGTCTTTCAGCAGCAGTGAAACCTCCTACTTGTTTACGTCCCCTTTTTGCAATTATCTTTGGTGATGATTTGGGCACAATGGATATACCTGTCTCATCAACATTGTAGATCCTATTAGGTGTATAAGAGTGCTTGTGCTTATTAAAAATCTCTTCAAGTAGTGAGAAGAATTCCTGCACAGCTTCTTGATTAAATCCAGTTGCTCTGGCAAAAGATGTATGTTCAGCTTTTCTGTATAAAAAATCATGCCTACTTCAAAAGCAACGCAACCAGTCTTTACCGGCTTTTTTGTTTGATTGAACTTGTGAGGAATGCTTAATTTTTCTGCGAATTGGATAGCTAATTTTCTTACTTCAACCCCAGTTAATCCAAAAAACTTTATTTCCATCTCTGAAATGTACCTAGCTAATGTCTCCTCTTGCTCATAAGTAAAAATACGGAAGAACCCTACGACTAAAATAACCGTTGCATGATCTATTCTGTTATTGGTATACAGAACTGATGAATAAAACTTAAGTGGTACCTTTACTTTGATCGTTGTTGAGCTCTGACGTTGGAGTGTGTTTATTTTTATTTACTTTCTTTGGAATAGTAGACCTTGGCACACCAAATTCTTTTGCAGTGCCTTTACATGAGCATCCATCAAGCACCTTCTAAACAGCCAAGTGCATTTGCCCGTCAATCCATAATACATCTTTTTCTCGTTTTCTTACTTAATTTCGGACGATGACTAATAATAATAATACCTAATGATTAACACTTAATAAACTAACAGGTACTAAACATTGCAAGTCGGTACTCAAAGCATCTTGTATTGTTTACATACGGATAGGGTTAGGTATAAAATCAGCAAACGGTCCACGCAGCCGACTTACAAGCCTTATGGCTGTTCACCGTGCTACGCCTGCCCTACCCAAGGTGCCACGCCTGCGCAATTCTAATAAAATTTTATATTGTTCATTACGGTACTTATATAAACTTTAGAATAAAAAAAACGTTAGACGAGAAAGTTAAGGACCTGAGCTATCAAATTGACCTATTTTCGTTTACAAAACACTTTCGACTTGCTTTAAGCTATTGAAAAATGAGAGAAACCTTTTTTCAGTAAACTAAATTATAAAATAAATAGAAAACATTATTTCGTGACATTAAAAACTCGGAGGATGATAGTAAGAGCCTTTTTTATTAAATTCCTATAAAAATCTTATTTTTAAAATGCATAAATATTAATTTATTAAGGTGCCACACTTTGCAGCCCTGCTCAACTTGCCCTCCCCTCTCTTGAATAAGAGCTACTCAGCTGAACTCCATTATTGGTCTAAATTATTGAGACTAACCATCAGCGTCCGTCTACTGTGAAAAACTGCATGTTAAAATTTTTATGAGTAAAAACATTTAATAAATACATTATAAAACATTTTTGTAAAATTGAAAAAAAATTTTTTAAATCCTCTATCAGGTATATAACTTGGTTGTGATTTTAGACTGAAAAAAGAATAATGAAACATAATTTCGATCAATAATTAAATAAGATCATTTTTCAAGTTCTTAGGGTATAAGAATTTTTGCAATATATTTTATTGATTTGTTAATAAAAAAAAATTCATAGTAGTACGCAAGAAACACCTTCAACTGTTAATTAAAAAATCAATCTCGATCTGTAAGATCTGTTCTTCATTACTGTTCAGATTTTTGTTGATTAATTTTCAAAGGTATTTAGTTTTAATATCTACATACGCTAATTAAAACTGTGGTCTAATATTAACATGATACAATGAAAATTGAAATTATACATTAAAACAATACAATAAGTATAGCTGCTATACCTAAATTTTTTTATAACAAAAGACGGAAAATAAATGTTAAGGGAGTTTTGTGTAAGTTTTCTTATGCCTTCGTATTTTTTCTCTCACGTTGGATGTTAATAATTTCTTGGGAGTTTGAAATATAAGAATTACACTCATATCCTAAGAAATTATTTTATCATTATGAAATTACGAAATGGCCTTTCTAACGATAAGTATCAGCTTCCCAAATTACTTAATACAGTTAGTATTAAAAATATATTTATTTCGATGCATAGGAAAAAAAGGGTTTGTAACATCATTTATAAATTTAAATAAAACACATATATAAAAAGAAAATTAACCAGAATAATAAATTGCAAGACAACAACAAAAAAAAAAAAAAAATTCTGCCGACAATTGGAATCGATCCTTAGATACCAAAATAAAAAGAGTAGTGGCATAAGCCCTAACCATCTTAGCTATCGGTAGTTTGGGTGCAAAAAATCTTGAAGTCGGATATGTTCATTGACAACCTACGAAGCTTGTCCAACAGTTCATAACAATTATGATGAGGAAAAATAATAAATTAGTGGTTATGGCTGAACTGCCGTCCTTAAAAAATTTCTGAATATTTTTTCAATATAATACTGGATTTAAAAACAAGTATTAGCGTACAGGGAAAAAAAAATTCTTAATCGGCGCAAAAATGAGAACTGTAGCCAGTTTTGAACATAAAAAAAACTAGGTGTGGGTCTCGGGACCCACGACAGATGTGAAACATCAAAGAATATGTTATTGAACTCGGTAGTATTTGATTGTCTATGATAAAAATAGGAGTTTTTGTCAGATAAGTGCTATCGTCTCCAGCGCTATTTTGCAGCCCGAGGGACCTCCGAAACAGGGCCCAAGGGACGTAAGGCAGCCACATAGCAGTGGCGCTTATGTGGCGAATCCTATTTTTTCTATCGAGCGCACACCTGCCTCTTAAAAACCTGCGACATAAAAGTATATCAGTAACCTTCGAAAGGTGAATGAAGTTTCATTTTCCTACTTGCCCTTGCTATTCATTCGCTACATACATCATTCTCCATACAGTCCAAAGATCGAAGGCTCAAACATGAATAAATATTCATTATTTCATACTAAAGCTGCTCTGCTAAAATATAATAATTTCTGAGTTTTCGAAAAAAATATTAAACTAAAACAGTAGTATATTAAATAATTTATTCACTTATGTAATTTAAAATCGAACCAAATTAATTAATTAACATTAAACAAAAATTAACATTTTAAATCAGTTATGAACCACCCTACAACAAAAAAGAATCGAATTCCTTATAGTGGGAGTGGCCTTAGCTTGTGTGCAGGAGGTGGGAGATTCACATCTATTTGGAAACTGTCTTTTTTTCCTATTTTTTCTTTTCACAATTGGTTATAGAAAAAGAAAAAAAAATAATTCAACAAAATTAAAAATGTGTGCTGTGGTGGTGTCGAGTGGTGTGTAAAGGTAAAGACACGGGGAGGTACGGTGGGGTGGGCCGGGTGAAGGGGAAGTTACATGCAAAATCCACTTTCGTTACACATTTTCTCAAAGTCACCAATCTGAAATCGTTAATTTACTCTCGTGCATAACGCACCTACAGAAGTATAACTTCAAAAAAGCATAAGAGAAAATAAATGAAAAAAGTGTCCGTAAGAGTTAAGCTGGGGGAGTCAAGCGATGAAGCCAACATTATTTCTTTGATTTTAAATTAAAAAAATAATTTTTTTAGCTTTTGGCAAGGAGCATTTTGAGAAATAGTGCTGCCAATGTCCGCAATTCTAATAACCTTTTACAGAGCCGAGAATGAGGGAACAGGGAACGGGGTCAGTAGGTTATTCCGGGTCTATGTTACGATTTTAATAGGCGGCAGTGGGATGTTGCTGAGCCACAAGACCTAAATTCTCAGCCGAGAGGGGATGCTCACCTGCGGCATCAAAGCAGTTTCGAGTTTGGTGCAGACTTGGACTGGCAGCTAACCTGGGTGTCCCAGGTCTTCTTGATCTACTTTTTCCACTTCCTCAAACTGCGTTTGCTCCACGTCTTTCTAAGCTTCTTTCCTCTCTTTCATAATCGCCTTGAGCTAGCTTCCATGCAAGTCTAGTTCGAGGGGTAAGCGAATCTCCCACTATCAGGGGCCGCAGTTTACCCTCATTTTAAAGTCCCGCTCGTTATGATAGGTGAGATCGTCTTGGTGTTGCTACTGCTGTAGCTGGCGTCGTTTGAGCTGCCGTTCTAGATACTCGCCAAAGTCCGGAAGGGGGTACATTGGCTCCACATTGCGTAGGCACCACGGCACTATCTGGGAAGAATGGATCAACCTCTTTCTTCTCGGCTGGAGAGACTCTCTTACACCCAGTTTGATGGCATAGTGCCTCTACTATTGGATATTGACCCTTCATGTTTGCTATTCCTTTTTTACCATTGGGGCATCCTTCTTGTTATTCAGTGACTGCAGAACATTGGTATCTGTAGGAGCAACATTAGGACTTTGTGGTGGTGCAAATGTGGGCTTGAGTTTATTAAGGTTAGATATTTGCACAGTGGTAGTATCCCCTGTGTTCTCATCTTATATCTTTATCGAAAATTTCGACAAGATCTTACATATTATACAAGGGCCAACGAATGTTACGGCAAAATTAAAGAAAAAATTAAAAGGATAATGACGATGATACGTGATCTTGCCTCCAGACTTTTTTGTTTAACATGAACGATCCTGGGTGGGGATTTTTGTGTATCTATATATTGCTTTAAAGATGGACAGTGAAAATGTGTGGGCCACCTTGCTAGCACCAGCCCGTAATATATAAAAAAAAAAATAATATTGTCCATAAGTTAGGCCACTTTTTTATCTAATAAATTGGATTTTTAATTGAAATACTAGGATTATCACGTGAATCTACAAGCTTCAAGCTATTTGCGACGTTATCATAATATTACCTACAAATTTCTTGTTATTTAATAAATTGCAGTTTAATGAACGTGGTCGGAAGCCTATAATGCACTTACTGTCTTACAACACTTGTCAGATGCCCCAACTTTATAGTCACAAGGATTTATTATTTTTTAATAAAAAAAAAAACTTTTCAAAAATATATTAGTAAATGAGTCACTTTAAAGAGAGAGCCTTGAATTTTAAGGTCCACTGATTTTCAAGACAATAAGAGTGACTTAAATCCTTTCTATTTGACGATGAACGTATAGGTGGCCCATAATATGGCTGGTGGCTCATAATAGGCACCTTTACCTTATATAACTAAACCCAACAGTTTTCGAGTAAAAAATTCCCAAAATTTTCAAAAAATGTGGTTTTTTCAAATTTTCTGGTCTCTACTAGGATACTAAATCAACAGATTTTCATACGTTACAACACACAAACATTAACTATTAACCTTCCTCAACAATCTCCAAAAATGAGAATGTCAAAAAGATTTATGGCAAGTTTAATTTTGCAATGAACGTTCAGGACGTTTCAGAGCACGCTATGGTGTGAGTGTATACCTAGATACACGTTTTGTGGCTCTGCGTGTAGTAAACATAAATAGATAAACACTCGCACCGGAACACGCTCTGAAACGCCCTGAGTGTTTATTGCAAAATTAAACTTGACATAAATCTTTTTGGCATTCTCATTTTTGGAGATTGTTGAGGAAGGTTGATAGTTAATGTCCGTGTGTTGTAACGTATTAAAATCTGTTGATTTAGTAGACTTGTGGAGCCTAGAAAATTAAAAAAAAACCGAATTTTTGCTAGTTTTTTACCGAAAACTATGGGGCTTAGGAATATACATCCCAGTTGATTATTTATTCGGAATGGGCCAAAGTATAAGGATTAAATTTTTTTCTTTTCAAAAAATTAATTTTTGTTTTGTTTGAAAAATTTCTGACCGCATTTTCGCCTAGCAAACTGTACTTCTCCATACAGTAGAACACTTTAAATAAGATAAAGCAAAAAAAATTTCGGGTGAATTATATTTTCTAGACGATTACTGATTTCGCCCCGTCTAAATCACGTATTATAGGGTTGAAAAGGGCGTTAGGTTTATTAGGGTTGAAAAGGGCGTTAGGTTTATGGAACATTCATGCTCCCCAGTTCACCCCGTTGAAAAATGACCGCTGGACGGACGTAGCTCAAAAAAGCACTTTTTTTGTTAAAAAATCTGCCGACACCACAATTTTTAACGTAATTCTCCCATTTTTTTTTTTTTTAACTCCTTAGATGTCAAGCTTTGGTGTGTCACTGCCTCTTATTCTCAAGAGTCCAAACCCTAACCTCAAAAAATCGAAAAAAATCGGCAATCTGAGGTTGCAGTTTTACCTCATTTAAAATAGTTTTGGACCTTAAAAAATTTAAATTAAAGCCTAATAATATGTATTTTTCATCGTTGCTCACAAATCTATGCTTACTTCTAATCAAGCACATAACTAATATTTTCTAACCTCAAAAAACTTCGAAAAAATGTAGTGAAAAATTCGAAAAATTTACTTTTGTTAACAATTATTTTAAAAAATGTATTTCACCTTTATTGTCTAATTTTTTTGGATATTCGTATTGTATTTTTTAAGCAAAATTAACAGTATAGCACTAAACTGCTCAAATCCAGAAATGTCTTAAAGAGAATTTCTGCGATGCCTAAAAAATTAAGAACTTACACATGTAAAAAGAACTAAGACACCTTTTTCTTTAATTTTGTAATATTTTTTAAAACAGTTAGGTTCATCATGAAAAANTTTTTTTTTTTTTTTTAGCAAAAACGAGAGTACAGGACTAAACCGCTTAATTCCCGAAATGTCTAAAATAGAATTTCTGTGATTCCTACAAAGTGAAGGACTAACACATGTAGAAAAGAGTAAGACATCTTTTTCGTTAATTTTTTAATATTTTTCAAAACAGTGAGGTTTATTATAAAAAAGCGCTTAAAAAGTATGTGCAGCAACGCTGGCAATTTTTTTTTTTCATATGAATGTACTTACATACACGCTTTTACACATACTGAACCGTTCTCTCTTGTATCATTATTAAAAAAAAAAATTTGTGGATCTATTTAAAATTTAATAGGTTTATCTCAAAGCTATTCTTAATACCAACAGACGTTAAGAGATTTCGAGAGATCATATACAAACAATTTTACGTGATTTTTCGTTTGATTACGTGATTACGAGAATTTGAATTTTTTATTTTTTCTTAATTTTTTCTACATATGTATATGATTTATTAATGTTGTATGCATGAATACAATATTTAGCTGTGCTTATTAGAATTGACATTACAATTTTTTTACTTAGTTTCAGATTAACTATTCACGACTAAACAGCATGTATAATAGTGCAGGAAGTATTGATCCATGGGAACCAGGCTTTGCGCCGACAGACAATAGGCGATCTATACAAGATCATGTAAGTACAGATTTGGACTATCAGCGAAGCTACAGGAATAGTAGGTCCCCAGATTACAGTGATCATCGGGATAAAATCCATCGAAGTCCTGACTACAAATCTTATAGACGTGACAGAGATCGATCGCGAGATAGAAGAGATCGGAGTAAAGAGGATCGGGAAAGAATTTACCGAGATCGTGAAGAGAGGTATGGACGCCAACGAGAGAGAGATTCTCTTGAAAAAGAAAGGGAGAGGGACAGAGATAGAGAACGAGATCGTGAGAAAGAAAGAGATCGAGACAGAGACCGCCGAAGAGATCGTGAGAGGGAACGTGAACGTAGATCACGAAAAGAAGATCGCAGTCGTAACCAGGATGATGATTACAGTCATGAAAGTGTCGACTATGATCAAGAACAGTCTCGCACCTACAACACAGCCATGGAAGGAGTGCATTACAAATGTCAGACACCTAATAACACAATTATGATTCGAGGACTTGCCCAACATATGACAGAAAATGATGTAAATCACAATTTACTAATAAAACTTTTGATTAAGTGCAGCATATTAATGAAACGAAATTAACTTTTAATTACAGATCCGGCAGGATATTTTAACTTGCGGTTTGATGCCAAAAGATATTAGGCTTATACGAAAGAAGGACACAGGTATACGATTCGGAAATGTATTTTAAATTATGAATTCTATATTTTATCTTACCACTCCATGTTGACAACTTGATTCCATCTGAAATAGTTTTTATAGTTACGCCTGATCAATTTGCATTTTTACATCCTTTATTGTTGCAAATTTTCTTATTTCTTAATTGCATTTGAAAGAAATCAATGGTAAGTAGTTGGGCAAAAAAACTTATTTTTTAAAGTAATACATGAAATATACTTAATTTTGGTTATTTTCCGAATTTCTGAAAGTAGTATCTTGATCAGATTATGCCAGCAATAATAAAAATGTCCAAGGTTTAATACAAAAAACTCAAATTATTTTCTTAAAAACTCAAAATATAAAAAAATTTTAAGGAATTACTTAATTTTTAAAAAGATAGATTTTTATTACAAATACAACAGTGAAACCTAAAAAGAAAGTTTTTTAAAATTAGGCAAGTAAAAAGGTATTATGCTCTAGTCAGTCATTCGAAATGTTAGACTCTGTCAATGGTTGGAACTGTGTCACATTGCCTGCCCTCTCGGAGTCTTCCTGGCATGAACGTGGATTAACTTTGGAAATCTATGTATTTGCTTTGTATAGGTGCTTCTCGAGGTTTTGCTTTCGTCGAGTTTAACGCAACCCAAGAGGCTGCAAGATGGATGGAGATGAAACAGGTAGAATCGAGTTCAATCAAGTGTTCCAAACAATGAATGTGTTGCTCTGAGTGTCTCAGCGACGCCCCGTGGCACGACAGGGCAGGGTAGCAAAGTTCGCTGGGCCGCCCTCTCTAGCCTAGCTGCACTTCTCAATCAAGGCCACTTCTACATACTATAATTTTTTATTATTTAGGATGCTCCTTTATGATTTATGCTCGTATATAGTTTTGTGGAGATTTTCTGATTCAAATTATAAATTTTTAAGTTTTGTCATAATTTCATAAAAATGGAAATAATTTGATTATTATTTACACACTGATAAATGTGGGTCGCTGAATCTAATTATATTTCATTACAGTGTTTGTGTTTTTTTGTTTTTTTGATCCATATTATCTTTAATACCGAGTACATTAAAAATCTGCACTCCTGATTTTTGCTTTAATTTAAAAAACTGCCATTTTCTCTCTTTATAACATAACTAAAATGGCTTTAAGTTTTCCATCATAAAAGTATTTTAGATTCAGCTTTAGGTTTTGTCAGAAATACTTCTTAATATGAATGAGTTTAAAATTTTTGTACAAATCAAGTTTTTTATGTTCATGTCACAATGAATATTGCAATTTTTTTTAATTTTTTTTTTATTTTTCGTGAAAAGTAGCTTATTAGTAAAAGATTCTGTCCTTAAATTTTAAGTAAAAAAGTCTAATGATCTGTTAGAAAAAAAAAACATCCCAACGGTCGGAAAAGATACAAAGTTAAAAAGTAATAATCCAATGTAATGACACTTTCATCTTTAATTTCAGGGAGTACTAATGCTTCAGGATCAGTATCGAGCTCTAATGCAGTACAGTATTCCCAAGGAGTATCATATGGATAAACTATCAGGAAAAAATACGCAGGATTGGCACTGTGTTAAGGTACACGTAAAAAATTTGAAATTTAAATTTTTAAAAACTATTGCTAATGTAGTATGGTTAAGCTCATAAAAAACTATTTGAAATCCAAAGCAATATTAAACAAGTAATATGAATAACTAAGTCAAAGCTATATCACTTTATGAACTCATTTTTAAAAACGTTTCCTAAGTATGCTGACTACGCTAAACTTTTAATATACAGGTACAAATGTTGAAAAAACTCTATTAAAACTCTAAAACTGTGCTTTCACAGAAAACAAAATATAATATTAATAAATACCGTTAGTAGATGTAAGAAATGTATTCTAAAAGTTACGGCCATAGTAGAACCATGGTTTAGGCTGCGGTTTTTGTAGCTTGGGGGTCCTGGTAACTCGTATTCACTAGTTTAAGACCCAGCCTTTACTTACTTGGCTCGCACCTCTGAGAAGTTACTTTCTCATGCGCGTATACCGACTGTACTCTGAAGGTTTAGAAGTCATGTAAAATAAAATCCCCTTTCCTGTGTAAGTGGTTGATGTCACAATTGAATCCGAGGCAGTTTTTCACTATATCAGTGACGATAGCATATATATGCGTATTAACACAGCATTGCAGATCCTATTGAGTACAGTTCTCAGAAATGGCTGTAAAAAAATTAATAAAAAAATTAAAAGATTCTAATATTTCAAAATAACCGGTCTTTTTCAGCATAGAATTAGCTAAAGCACGTATTAAAGTAATTATTGTTACAAAATAAGTAACACTTATCTTTAAAGAAACAAATAACATGCTGAACAGAAATGGATACGCTTCTAATTTCGATAATCATGATCGAAATCTGAGTGTTTGTTAATAGTGGTGATACCTAGAAGTATCAAACAAAAAATTTTTTTTAGTATCTGTAAGTTCTTTAAAAATGAGATTCTAAATAGTTACGTTTAAATTTAACTATATTATATTTTCACCCTCATTTCAACATGTTTCTAAGCATCACACAATGTACTGTACATGATATTTCTTAAATGAAATGATTCTTCGTACAAATTGTTACATTTTCTGTCCATATTAACAGTAGAAATAATTATCTAATCACTTACTAAACAGCCTCGGTTTTGTGGACTTTTACATTGCTTTTTAACGCACTCAGGCACACATTTACACAAAAATGATCTTAAGATTTTGATGTAGCTCTAACTTATTAGAACCATAACTATCATCTTTAAGAAGCTGGTGGTCGAAGGTACTTCTTGATTATTTTCAAGATTATCATTTATGTAATAATTATAACTAACAATATGATAGTACAAACTTCGCGTTGGAAGCTTAAACTACCACTTTTCTCACTAATAAACATATTTATTGGAAATAAACTAAACAATTATTCATATTTAGTACAGTTTTACTACACTCAGCGTACACTGAGAGAAAAAATCAGTCATCGTCATTACAATTTTATAATAGCTACTACATTTCTTGTAAAGACTATTAACAACAAGTGTATTCTAGATCTAGCTGACGTTTTAGTAAGTAGTACGAGGTGTGCTCAAAAAGTAACGGAAATTCTTATTTTTGCAAAAAAATATGTATGAATTTGTCTTTATCAATGTTGTTGCCTTTAAAATAGTCACCATTATATATTATACACTTGTGCCAGCACTTTTTCTAGTTCACGAAACACTTCTCAAACTCAATCTTTAAGATAGCCTTCGGTTCTTTCAGTGATGCATTCTATATGTGATCTACGTCTGGAAAACAATGACTTTTGAAGGTTCTCCTTATTTTTGGAAAAAGAAAAAAATCGCATGAAGCCATATCTGGCAAATATGAAAGCTGATAATTTGTTTACTAATTCCTGAAAAATTTGCGTTCATGGCAGTTTTTATTAAAAACTCAACAGTTTTGAACAAATTTTGCTTCCATTCGTTTCATACCCTCAAGACTTCGTTTCATACACTCAACTCCTAGCGTCGGCAGAAAGTTGCAGTACGTTTGGTTATCGCTGTTGATACAGGTGCCCTGCTAACTTCTTGTGAAGATGGCAGTGCAGCAATTATTATTGTTATTATTATTACTATTATTGTTATTATTTTTTTATATCTTTATAATAAAGATCAACTGTATGTGTAATCGTTTCAGCTATAAATAAGCTTCTCCATTTTTAACGAGATATTTTTTTATTCATTTACTTTTTTTTATACTTACGTTAGCGCCGTGATGGATATATTACCGACTGAGTTATAGTAAACGAGTATATACAAAAACTGTTTTTTGATTAACCGAAATAAATGATGTTAACCTTATCGGTGATGCAGGTTTCGGTGTTTTCTTTATTTTTTTAACAGGAAACAAAAACTCTTTCATATTTATACGTTTTATTGTTTGATGAAAAATAACTATAAAACAAATATATATTTGTTTTCTACATCTATAAATGAAGTTTAAATGATAATTATCAAGAACAATTATTGAATCTTTAATTTATTATTGAAATAAAGCATGAATTATTGTGTGTAGAACGTAATAAAAAGTTTTGAACAACATTAGCGTATCGTGCTATTCCAGGTCTCCGAGTGCTTACCATCTCACTCCAAACATTTTCAATAATATTGAGATCAGGTGAGTACGTTGGCTATGGCATTCTTCGAAGAAATGGATGATCTTCATACCATTAACGAACGATTCGAGTTGTATGTATAGCACTGTTATCTTCAACATCAAAAAAATCGGCCTCAGGAAATCGTTTCTCAACTGAGGGAAGTAAAATATTTTCCAAAGTTCGAATATACAGGTTTGAATTCATTCGACGACCAACTTCGACGATTTCCCCTGGTCCATCGGCATTCACCCAAGCCCAATGACTGACTCTTCTGCTATGTGTTAGAGCTTTTACATAATTTGGATGATATCGAGTGTTAGGAGGTTTCCATACGCAAGCTACGTATACGTCGAAGTTGGTCGTTTGATTTTTTTGATTGTTTGATTATCTAGATACGCAACTCTCAGTAATCAAGCTACTTACCGACTGATGGGATTCGCACGATGTTACCATACAAAAAAATCATGCAGACAGAATTAATTGGCACTGGATGTACAATCTGCTCTTGTTGGAATCATTGTATCCGACAATAATATTTGTTTTAAATTTTGGCTACCATAAAAGTAAAATAATTCATTTTATCTGATTGCGTTTAAGAAAAACAATAGACATATAGCTATTTTCCGTTGTAAAATTTTAATCTGTTATTTAATATGTTTTCTATTATTATCTATAAATAAATATTAAAATTTATCCGAGCTTATGACTAATTTCTACTAATCCCAACATCAGTAATAAGAATGTAGGTTTTGGTAACGTGACACTTTTTCTTATGATACATCATAGAGAACAGAAAATGAATCAATTGATAGGTAGGACATGAAGGATGTAGCTTTGCCTCGAAGATATGACTTTTACTATTTTTAGAATCATAACGATTGTTTGTATAAATTCGTGTAACATATATTCTTGCACCTCACTAGTCATTGTCTATACAAGGAAGTGTTTTTGGCCTACCTAGCTTTTTTTCGAGATATGATTATTTTTAAAATTCTTAGAGGTTATGTTGTGCCAAAAATTTTTCGATTTTCGAAAATTTTTAATTTTTTAAACACGGCATAGAAAAGGAAATATATTTTTACTCGTTCTTTTTAATATACAGTCAAAAAGGAAATAATTGGGTATTATGGGTATTACGGTTGGGCTTGAGACCGGCACATTTACTGTGGCCACAATACGCGCGTGGTAATTTATTTACGTTCCCGTTCGAAATTAAAAAAAGTCCGGAGAAACTACAGAAAGACCGTGCTGTAATAAACATACTCTAAGTGAGAAAAAAATTGTTTATTTATTTAACAACAACTAAAAATTCATAGATTTTATTAACTATACTATCTGAAATCAGAATGAATTTTTTTACTATTTTTTGTCGAGTGTTTTTAGAGTACATATAGAAAAATACTGAGGAATTGCAGCATGAGCTTTTATGGCAATCCATATTTTTCGACGAGACGTATTTCCAAGAATAAATACTTGTAGCGAAGTAAGTTACCAATGATACACCAATCAAAAAAAAGTTCGTGCAATTCGGGACAGATTAATGTATTAAACAGTGTTGCTTACCGACCATAATATTGTAATAGTGAATTACATTAACAATGACCAAGACGTGTCGTTTGGTAATTTTTAAATACTAAATAATACATTAATTATCTTTACTCGACGCTTAACTCACTAAATATAAATGTTTTGATTTCCTTAATAAGTGACGAATATTTTGTTTTATAATTTTACTTACCTTGTCTTGTACATAGTATTTTTAAAAATTATGTCTTAGTATTGAAACGTTATACATGAGCTCACATAATTACATAAAGGTGTCATGACACTTTATGTATAACTTACATTAAAAAAAAAAAAAATTAAAAAAAAAAAAATACAAGCATTTTTTTAATAAAAAAAAAAGATTTATTATTTTGCTTCGTTGAAATTGTCTATAGTGACGACTCGTCGCATGTACCAAGCGTACAAAAGGCAACAAACCAACAAAATATTTTTTTAATACAAAAACCTAACGTATAAAAATTGTGCAGATGGAAAAAAAAAAAAAAAAATCTGTGAGATTCGAAAGCTGGCAAGTTTGGCTGGGGTAAAAGACTTAGCCCGCGCGGCTATCGTCAATTGTACTCTTACTTGACAAGTTGTCATATTTAAGTTGTGAGAAGTGGGTGGGGCTTAGGTTAAAGGTCTGGGTAGGGGGGCTCTCCCGTTCCAGCTTGCTCTATGGAGAGAGGGTGATTGCGCACTGCGCATGCGGCGAACTCCCGAAAATCTGGGAGCCTTGAGTCCAACCCCTATATATTTGTGCACCTCGATCATGCAAATCCTCTTTTGGAAACCCGTAGAAATTTTTATTTTTAGCCAATTTTGCTTCCCTTTCGAGATGCAGCGTTTCTTCTTGTCGTCGAAGGTTAGGTTGTGTT